AGGGCACTATTGACGGGGAAACTGCGTGATTACACGTGACCGGACTTCGCCCAGAGCAGCAAACACCACAATTAATTGCGGCCATCCAGTGCCGAATCAGGGACTTTAGCAAGTCTACGGGTTTATTGTCAGGGCTGTGCTACACGCAACTCACGTCACGAGATAGCAATGCGCCCTTGCATCGACCGCAAGCTCCTATCAGGAACTATACCGCACCACCAATCAGCCACTCAACCTACCGAGCCCCTCAACAGCACACGCACCACTCGGACTTAGGCACAGTCACACTAGGCTAGGTGACTTTAACCCTTGCACAGGATTCTCGACCCTCACTTCAGGATCAGCCCTTTATCAGGACGACTAGTCCTAGCCTACGCTCGCCTTTTATAGCTTTCGCGCTGCTCTGACCACGCCCGCGCACGCGCTCACGTGACTAAGCAGTGACTTCCGCTGCCCTATCGCACAACGCACAAGGCGGAGCCTATGCGCAGCGCTTGCTTAACACACAGCTATGCGCGCCTAACATCTGCCTCTGTTACTGGGCAGAGCGCCATATATATCTTTGCACTATGCCTAGTGACTAGCGCCCTCTGTCGCGTCACAGTATTAATATTGATGATTATGTTCAGTCTCAAGCTACAGAAGTTGTAGATGATGCACAGCCTCAGCCAAGTTATGAAGATGTAGATAAGCAGCTGAAACAAATTAATGGTAACAAATCAGATGGGCCAGATGGTCTATCACCAAGGGTGCTGAAATTTTGTCTCTCTGAACTAGCACTGCTTATTTCAAGGGTCTCTGAATAGTCAGATTGTTCCAAAGCTTTGGAAAACTCCAAAAGTAGTACCAATTCCAAAAATACCAAAGCCTATCTCTCAAAATGAATCTCGGCCAATAGCACTCATACCAGTTAAAATGAAATGTTTTGAAAAGTTAGTTAAGGTGATTCTTCTGCCCCAAATCTATATTGATCCATGTCAGTTTGCCTACCAGGTAGATAAAGGAGTAGAGGATGCCATCATTGCGTTCCTTCACAGAATATATGAGCATCTTGACAGACCAAAAACCTATGTGCGTACATTGTACGTTGACTTTTTGTCGGCTTTTAACACTGTAAAACCTGATGTTATTTTTCAAAAATTGACAACATCGAGTGAACAGCCTGGTCTTTGTTCCTGGATTTACAGCTTCCTGACCGATAGAACACAAAGAGTTAGGCTGAATGGTGTATGGTCGGACGATATTTGAATAAATACCGGTGTTCTGCAAGGCCTCCCCGGTCTCGTTTGCATTATAAACGATTGTAGATCAGACAGTAATTCATGTTCTATTCTAAAATATGCCCGTGACACAGTACTTACGGGCTCTAGAATGATAAGACTGAATATCGGCATGCAATAATGAAATTTTACCAGTGGTGTGAAGAAAATGGGCTGATCTTAAACGTCAATAAGACTAAATGTAACTGCCGACGTGGCCCGTCTCTGTACAGTCAAGAGATGGGGCTGTCTTTTCTTTGTTTTTTTTCTTATGGTCCTTTGTGCAAGCACGTTTGGCTGACACTTTGATAGTTTACTCGCTATATTCTTCGTGATTTCGTGCTTAGTTTCCAAGACCTGGACCCTAGGACAGAGGTACGTTACAGCTTAGTTATTATAGAATGATTATATAAGCATAACCTAGTGATTTTAGTGAAGTTTCATGTGATTTGATCAGTTATTTCACGACAATATTGTTCACGTCGATCACCTAATATGTACCGTATATCTACATGTTCGCCAGATATGAGTGTGTGTGTGCGTGCCACAATGCCGCTAAGCTGACCGCTCGAACGTGCACTGTGGAGTTGACCTTTGACCTCTCACAGTACTCGCTTAGTGTATACACGTATAAAAGGAGCTTTGTTTAACCAAGTGAAGTGTAGGAATGCATGTAAAGACTCACTCGCCATTTCTACTCTCATATTGTTATTTCTTTGTTTATTTTTTCACGGTTTTTACGTGAACTTGTTTGTGAACCTAGTGAACTCATCAGCCATAAATGATGCAGCCAGTCAGTTGCAAGAGATTTGAATAAACCAGCATATACATGCATAATTGAGAAAACTGTCACAGTAAAAACTCTCCACGGGAAAAATGACGGACACAGAAGATCTACGTCTTGGAGATTCAGCCGCAGTTATCAGTCGAGGTAGCAAAGGTGCCCGTTCTACTGGCGGTAGCTCTCTCCACTCAAACACAGAGCTACTACGCATTGCTGAGGAACAAAAACGAGCAGAACTTCGTGCACGGTCTGCAGCAATTGACAAGATGCATGAGATAAAGTTATCCAGGCGCACACTACAGATGGAGAATCAGCGACTCATGCAGGAGATGGAAATAAATCGCCTTGAACTCGATTGACAGGCTCAGCAGCTAAAGATCCGCACAGAAATCGATGTGAGCAGTGCAAGACTTCAAGTGCTGGACAAGTTCGATGATGAATTTTCTCAATGTGGTGAGCTTCCACTACTTGATGTGAATGACCTTCCCCCAAACTTGACGGGCCATTCACCGAGGCCGCTACCGCTGAGAATCCACCCACACGTATTGATGGCCATCCTGTGACCACCATCGAGCCGGAACATGCCATTCCCAGCACAGCCCAAGAAGATGTCTTCCCTGTTGCAACGCCCAATGCGTCCCCTCTACTTAAGGTTAAACCAGAGATACCTGATGCGGTACATACGACGAGATCTGGTGACACCAAAAATGGAGATGTGGCTTGTGCCATCACAGCACTGGCAGATGTGTTGACACGACGAGAAGAAAAACTACCCAAAAGGGAGCCAGAGGTGTTCAAGGGCAGTGTATTCGACGACTTCCCTGCATGGATGGACTCCTTCTCTGTTCTCGTAGAGCAGCGTTACCCTTCGGCAATTGATCGTCTCTACTATCTTGGCAGATATACCAGCGGCGAAGCTCGGCAATGCATCAAAGGACTTCTTGACCAGAACAGTGAGACTGCCTACGTAAAGGCAAGGAAAATTCTGAGTGAGCGGTATGGCAACAAACTACTAGCCGCCAGTGCCTATCGCGAAAGAATCAACAAGTGGCCAACCTTGAAGCAGGATGACAGAAAGGGACTTCGCAACCTGTCAGATTTCCTCTTCCAGTGCGAGACGGCCATGGCGACACTGAGGGGTCTAAAGGTCCTTGATGACCCAGCTGAACATAAGAAGATCATCGAGAAACTACCGAGGCAAGTGCAGAATCGTTGGTTGCGCCATGTAGACCAGTGGATGTACGACAAGCAAGGCACTGAGCTTGATGACTACCCGAACTTTGCTGAGCTGTGCAAGTTCGTAGCCAAGGAAGCCCGCATCGCCTATAGCCCCTACCATCAAAGGCCAATTAAAGAAGGAAGGGAGGACGCGAAGACCAAGAAACCAATGAGATCGGCAGGAGCCTTCACTGCCAAAACAGATGAAATGAAAACGACAAATTGTCTGTAATGCGACACGGGCGATCAGACCTAGAGAGATCATTCCAGGCAAGGAAGATGATCCTTATGCCGTAAAGACGGCTCTGGGCTGGGGTGTTATTGGAAGAATGCAACCGCAACGTAGCGATGGAAAGGCGTCTGCCTTTTCAACCACAACCACAGATCTGGAGCATTTTGTCTTCCGCACACAAGCGAAGGAAATCAGCCCGTTTCAAGTTATGAGAATGTTCGAGATGGAATTCAGCGAGACTGCTGCTGAAGAGAAGGTGTCTCTCGCAGACCGAAGATTCCTACAGAAGATGGGACAGGAAATCCATAGGAGGGAGGATGGGCACTTCGAAATGCCTCTCCCATTCAAGACGGATGATTTCCAACTCCCAAACAAGCAGATGGCAGTCCGACGGCTGGACAGGCTGAAGACAAAGATGCGAAACGACCCGCAATATCGAAAGGATTACGAAGCCTTCATGACGAATATCCTGGAAAGGAACTATGCTGAAAGAGTCCCAGAAGATGAACTCCTCCTCGACAATGGAGCAGTGTGGTATATACTTCACCATGGGGTATACCACGCCAAGAAGCCAACAAAATCCGAATTGTGTTTGACTGCAGTGCAGAGTTCCAGGGCGAGGTACTGAATTGACATCTACTCCAAGGTCCAGACATGACCAACAGTCGTAGGAGTTCTTTGCCGCTTCCGCAACGATTACATCGCCTTCACCTGTGACATTGAAGGCATGTTCCATCAAGTTGGCGTCAATGTTGAGCATCGCAACTATCTCAGATTCCTGTGGTTGGAAGGAGGCGATATAGAAAAACGACCAGAGGAGTTCAGGATGAAAGTACATCTGTTCGGTGAAACGTCATCCCCAGCATGTGCAAACTTTGCACTTAAGTCTGCTGCCGACGCATATGAGAACACCCATGGGAAGGCCGCGGCAGACTTTGTCCGACGAGAATTCTATGTAGACGATGGGCTCAAGTCAGTCACTACCCCAGAGGAGGCATTGGAGTTGATCGAAACCCGTGTCAATCTGTGCGAGCAGAGCGGGTTCCGCCTCCACAAGTTCATCGCGAACAACAAGGATGTGCTGCAAGCCCAAGCCATTCCACCAAGTGAACGGGCAAAGGATGTCCAAAATGTTAAGGTCCTCTCAGAGGGTTTTCCAGTTGAGCGGACTCTGGGAGTACAGTGGTGTGTAGAATCAGACACGTTCCAGTTCAGAGTACACTTCAGTGACAAACCACCCACTCGTCGGGGCATCATGTCAAGTGTAAGCTCCATATTTGACCCCCTTGGTCTCGTCTCTCCCGTGCTGCTCGTTGGAAAACAAATTCTGCAGTCCCTCTGTCGAGATGGTTATGCATGGGATGACCCCATTCCAGATGAGACAAGGGCGGAGTGGGAGAAATGGAGGCTTGATGTCTGCGACTTGGTATCACTAAAGATAAGGAGATGCTACAAACCTGAGAGTTTCAGCAGCATACAATCTGCAGAATTGCATCATTTCTCTGATGCCAGCGCCGAGGGCTGTGGCCAGTGTAGCTACCTGAAGCTGATAGATGACACAGGCTCTGTCGGTACAACGCTAGTTATGGGGAAATCTCGAGTCACCCCATCGAAGCCAGTGACAATACCCAGACTAGAACTTACAGCTGCTGTCACTTCTGTTAAAGTGAGTACATTCCTTTCAAGAGAGCTGGAGTATAAGAATGTGAAACACTTCTTCTACACCGACAGCAAAGTGGTACTCGGCTATATTGCCAATGACAGCAAGAGATTTCATGTCTTTGTTGCGAATCGGGTACAGAAAATACGAGATAGTACCACTCCCGATGAATGGCGCCACATTGACACCAAGATGAATCCTGCTGATCCGGCTTCCCGAGGTCTTTCAGCCGGGGCCCTCATTGATTGCAAGCTCTGGTGGAAGGGCCCTGCCTTCCTACAGACAGCTGATGCGCCACCACGAAATGATGAGCCTGCAGAGCTTAGCTCGACTGATCCTGAAGTAAAGAAGGCATCTGTCTTCAATGTGGAGGCTCATGCACCCACTTTTCCGAGCACGCTGGAGAGGTTCAACTACTTCTCTAGCTGGTTCCGCCTCAGACGGACAGTCGCAGTGTGTTTGCGATACATAGAAAGGCTTAAGAGACGCATCAAAGGGGAATCTGCGACGCCCCCAGATGCCTACAGTCCCATCACTGTGGACGAATTGTGTCTGGCAGAACAAAGGATCCTGCATCTAACACAACAGCAGGCCTTCCCAGAAGAAATCCGAGTGCTCAACAAACAAGATGGTGGCAGTCTTGATATCCAGCGTCAGTCAACAAAGCCTCTCAGCAAGGGCAGTCCACTACGCACTCTCGACCCAATCCTAGATGAGAAAGGGCTGCTCAGGGTTGGTGGGCGTATCAAGCAAGCATCCGTTTCCGAAGACGTCAAACATCTGATCGTGCTCCCACGTCGCAGCCACCCCACAGAACTCTTGATTGAACACTACCACTCCCAAAGTTGTCATGCTGGACGTGGTATAACACTGAATAACATTCGTCAGGCTGGTTTCTGGATCTTGGGTGCACGAGCTGCCGTTGCCAGTCATACTTGGAAGTGTGTGACCTGCCGGAAACTCAGAGGGGCACCCTGTGGACAAAAGATGGCTGAGCTGCCAGCAGACAGGCTGAATCCATCCCCGCCTTTCACATACAGCGCAGTCGACTTCTTCGGCCCCTTCCTTATCAAAGACGGACGAAAGGAGATGAAACGATGGGGAGTTCTGTTCAGCTGCATGGCCTCCCGTGCAGTCCATATCGAGACGGCGAATTCCCTCAGCACAGACTCTTTTCTGAATGCCTATCGGAGGTTCACCTGTAGGAGAGGCCCAGTGAGGCAATTGCGATCGGATCGGGGAACGAACTTTGTTGGCGGAAGGAGCGAGCTTGATGATGCTCTAGCCGAGATGAATCAACCCAAAATCTGTAGAGAGCTCCTCCAAGATGGCTGCGACTGGGTGACATTCAACATGAATGTCCCTTCTGCCAGCCATATGGCTGGAGCTTGGGAACGAATGATTCGTTCGATCCGAAGTGCCCTCTCAGCCTTGCTTCATCGAAATGGATGTCAGCTAGACGACGAGCTCCTGCGGACTCTCATGATTGAAGCTGAGGCGATTGTGAACAGTCGCCCCCTGACGTACGTCGACACGAAGGAGCCAGATGTTCCTGAACCGCTTTCTCCAAATCAACTTCTTACACTGAAGGGGAAGGTGGTGCTTCCTCCACCGGGAGTCTTTGTCCAACAAGATCTTTACAGTCGACGCAGATGGAGAAGAGTGCAGCTCCTCGCCAATCAGTTTTGGTCACGTTGGAAGTCTGAATATTTCTCTTCACTTCAAGAGCGCAAGAAGTGGACCAAGTCTCGAAGGAACATCGTGAAGGACGACATCGTGTTGATAATCGACGACAATGCACCACGATGCCACTGGCAACTAGCACGTGTCATCGAGACATTCCCAAGTTTAGATGGCTACATCAGGAAGGTCAAGCTTCAAACCAGCCGTTCCATATTGGAGAGACCTATTCATAAGGTGGTGTTACTGCTGGACCGGGACACCCCTCCGAGGAGCCAAGAAACTGAACCAGCCTGAACAAGTGAATTGAACTCAAGCAGACCACACTTAATAACCTGTATCAGTTTGAAGCATAGTTTGCGTATAATTCATTAACCTTTTGGAGTTTTCATTAAAAGTAGAGGTAATTTGATAGCTCAAATTAGGGGAGCCATGTAACTGCCGACGTGGCCCGTCTCTGTACAGTCAAGAGATGGGGCTGTCTTTTCTTTGTTTTTTTTCTTATGGTCCTTTGTGCAAGCACGTTTGGCTGACACTTTGATAGTTTACTCGCTATATTCTTCTCATCAACAACAGCCTTTCATGGAAGCAGCATTTTAACAGAACATTTGCAAAGGCTAATCAACGATTGTATTTTCTTCGGAAGCTAAAGTCCTTTGAAGTAGATAGAGATATTCTCAATTTATTTTACGTTTCTGTAATACAGTCAATTGTG